GATTCCAGCAGAACTAGATACTCTGTAGAATCAAGTGACAGATCCTGTTCCAACAAGTTCATCGTCAACCTCACCCAATAGCAGTTCAAATTCGGATTCCTCATATAAAAGCCCTCCAAGAAATTTCAGATCATTAACAGAAATTTATAACTCAACATTTGCTTTATTTATTTCACATCATCAACCTTTGAGGAAGCAGTTAAAAAAGAGGAATAGAGAAAAGCAATGAAAGAGGAAATCAAGTCAATTGAGAAGAATGAAACTTGGAAGCTAATGGATCTACCGAAAGAAAAGAAAACGATTGGGTTAAAATGAGTGTTCAAAACAAAATTTAAATGCAAATTATTTGGTTTCACTGATAGTGATTGTGCAGGAGCTTTAGATGATCGAAAGAGTACTTCAGGCAAGTGGAGCCATAACAATAAAGTATTGTGGAACGGATGAACAAGTTGCGGATATCCTCACCAAATCGCTTCCAGTTCGAAAGCATGCTTATTTTATGTTGCAAATTGGTGTATGCAACTATGAATCAAGGGGGAGTGTTGAGATTTGATTCATAGTTATCTATCTAGATAGTTATCATGATCTAGTGGTTACATGATGATTTTAATAACTACCTCAATCATGATCTAGTAGTTATAGGGTGGTTTCAATAACTACCTCAATCTAGTAGTTATAGGGTGGTTGTCACTAGGTCCTATAAATAGGACTGTAGTTCATGAAGCAAGTAAGTGTTCTTATCAATCCTCCTGTTTTTTAATACTACATCAGTTTTTCTGAGTCGAAAGGTTTTTTTTTTTCTTACATCATAGTATTCTGTTTTTTCCTTGCTCCTCCATCCCCAACAGAGATATGGAGGGAAGAGAGAGCGGAGAAAGTGAGGGTGGAAGAGAGAAGTGGAAAGGACCAAGATCTCTCTGAACCCCATTCTGATCAAGTAGAGGAAAAGAAAGATGTTTCGGTTATCTTTCTCCTCTCTCCCAATCTCATTTATCTATACAATGGGAGGGAGAGTGATCTTTTATTAGTATTATTATTTTGCTTTCTTTCCTTTATCATGTCTCATCTGTTGGCTGCCTTCTGTTCTCCCTTTTTTCTGTCTTCTGGCCTTTCTCCCCCTTTCTCATATCCTGGTGATACTATTTATTTTTGTTTTCCTTCCCAGCCAAAAGTGATGACTTGTATCTTGTCAACAAGGGACATAGTTGATGACCTCTGTTAAGACGAATTCCAGAGCCTACCAATTGTTTCTTTATTAGAGATAGGGAGTAGAGAAGAGACGGGTTGCTTCTGTTTTTAGACCAAAAGATCAGAGAATGAAGTTCATAAATTGATATTTGTACCTAGACAAGAGGGAATCTGCGAGACGTGTGGTGTTGTTGTTCTGCGGTATCTGAAAAACAATATGCCAAGAAATCACATTTGATAAGCATATTTGAATGTTTCTTTCCAATAAATAAAAATAGTGACCACCAGCTGTAGGCTGTTATGGAGAATTTTCTACGAAAGTTCTTGATCAACAATTTGACCAAATCATTAGTGTTTTCTCTAAATTGTTTGGATGTGTGTATCCTTATCACCTAAAGTTGCATAATGTCAAGTTTAGCAAACGGAACTGCACGGAGTTACAGGCGTCCACAGAGACACTTTGCCATTAGTTTCCATACGCTTTTGCTTTTTTCTTTCTAGTTGTTAAATAAAAGCTGCAAATTTTTTTTTTACTGAATTCTTCATATCAACCTGTAACTTTCGTCTTACAATTTTACTATTACTTGAATAAAGTATGATGTACAATATTTAGGCTCGAAAAAGGAAAAGGTTCACAATATCAATTTTGTTTCTGATTATGAAATACGGAAGCAAACTAGGTCATCGACTTGGTATATGTTTTTGCTAGGGAATGTGAATGTGGATTGGTATGATTAATGAGTTTGTATAAACGTGCCAAGTTTATGACATGAAGACATATAAGTTGGTTTGGTGGGCTTAGTAACAACCATCTGGAAGATTTCAATGCCTAATCAATTGTTTAGCACTAAATTTTACAATGTTAAGTGTTTAATTTTATCTCATGGTGGGGCTGAGACAGCACTAACCGATGCTATGGGCATAGGAAAGATTTGGATGGTGGTCTTTCCCTAGAGGTAACTTAATTTGTACTTGCTTTTTAGAAAGTGAAGCAGCCCATTCACTTAGTGGAAGAAGTTATGATGACTTAAAGATAATTATATGTTTATCTAAAAGAAAACCCACTAACTCGATTGTTGTTTACCTGACATTGGTCAAAACTGTATGAGTGGAGAGGAAGAATTTATGGAACCATGAGTCTGTTTGTCTGGTTTGTGTTACTACTTAAATAAAAGAGATTATTTTCACAAGTGATCTGCAAAAGAGGCTTAAATCTCAAACTATGATTGACAAATAAATGCATTGATGCTTGCTGATGCCCTCGAAATAAAGCAATAAGGTTAGTTTGTCTGATTTGTCATTATTTTGGATTCGTCATATATTAATGAAGCAATTATTTTGTTAAACTACTATACTGCTCTGACATGAATAATAGGTGTGCCAAACTTATTACTGTATGTTCAGGAAATACTTAAGTTTAATGTAAAGGAAAATGCCATCTATTAATTGAATATTTTGGTGCCTGATGTTTTATTTATTCACTACTTGGCACATATTATATACATGTGTAACCGGTTTGTTAAACTCTCCCATTAAATTTCTGCCATTGTTCTATTTTTTTCACTCAATAAGGTAAACCTTTACAAGGGCCTAAAGTCTTATTGTTCTGGTTTTGGATTAGCCTTCACTACCGTCTCCTTTTTTTCATGTATTGAGCTGGATCATTTCTATGTACCATTTACTCTCTTTTTTGTTGACCTATCCTTTCAGACCCTTTAATGCAACATGAAATAAGGTAAGTGCTAATGAAAAGGTTATGGCATAGCAACTGCTTATTATACTCACTTCTTTTAGCACTATAAACTAACTAAAGTTGCTTCTAGTTTTTCACCTTATTTTTGCTTCAATTTTTTTATGTCTTGTTTCATTGAAGCCCAGTCATGCATGTAAATGGCAATAGTTTGAGGTATGTGGAAGCACCAGTAGTTCTCAAAATGATAAATTTTGAAAACAAAAACTAGGTATTTCATATATTAATGCAGATAGTTTTGATTCTCAATGCCTAAATAGTTAAAATGAAAAAAAAACATACGGATTTTGTCTTAGCACTAGCAAACCTTGTTGGTTAACAATCAGTGATTTCAATAGGCGCTCAGGCGCTCGGGCGAGGCGAGGCCCGAGTGCCTCGCTTCAACGAGGCGCTGCCTAGGCGCTCGCCCGAGCCCAAGCGCCGGGCGCTTCGGGCGAGCGCCCGGGTTAAACCAGGCGACCGAACCAGTGTTTTACGTCTGGTTCGGTCTCCAGTGCTTTAGTTGGTTCAATCGAACCAACTAAATCACCGATAGGCTCCCTCTCATGATTTCCCTGACTTCCCCAACCCTAACACTCGCGATTTTGCCGTCGAGATTTCTTCTCCGTTGTCATTGCTCTCTGCTGCCATTACCGCTGCCATTGTCGCTACTTGCCGCTACCACAATCGTCGCTCATCGCTGTTGTCGTCGCTCGCTGCTCCCGCTCCCACTCCCACTCCCGCTGCTGCTCGCAGCTCTCGCTCTCACTCCCGCTATCGCTCGCCGCTCCCGCTACTGCTGTCGTTGCCTTAGCAGCCTCGGTCTTCTCACACTCTTCTTACTATACTGTTAACAGTATATC